GGCCACTGTTTTATTATTATTTTATTAGTTATGCTTTTTTCTTCACTTTTCAGCATATATGCAACACAGTAAATGCAATATAAGAAAAACAGATACGCCAATTGTCATGAAACTCACAGGAGTGGTCATTCCTGCTAAAACGCAGGTTGAGTTCAAAAATCAGCTTAATCGGGCCATTATTTTAAAGAAATGCCGTTTTTTCACATTTCCTCAGATTCATTTCTTAGGCATGTTAACAGTTTCATTATTTAATTAATAAGATACGTAAAAGTGTTTGTTTGGCATTTCCTGCATCTTTACAACATTATTAGTTGATTATGTAAAAATGATGGTAAACTTGTTATCGTGTATTGTGTAATAAAGTTTCAAAAATGGAAATGAACTCATATCATTGCAGTTTGTCAGATTCAATCTAGTTATTTCCTGTTTTTTGTCTGTACATTTGACAGCTTTGCTGCCTTGTTCTTGTTGTCCATCAAATTGTCACACACACACACACACACATATATAATTATATTTCAAATATATATATTTCAAAATGTTTTTAGCAATCTGGGGACATTGACAGACTTCTGACGCCAGTTATCTCCAATGGTCAAAGCAGCTGCTCATTTGTGCTGAACTTTTGGTACCATGCATATGGTTACTATCTGGGCAGACTTGATGTCAAATATCTTATTGTTGGAGACAGCACAGTCCAGGGGCCATTGTGGAGCCATGTCAACTCCCCCTCATCCAATAGCTGGAAGGAGATGACAGTTCAATTTTCAAGCAACCAACCCTTCCAGGTATGCTTTTGTGGTTGATAATTATAAGGAATTGGGATTTTATTGCACCATGACATAATCATGCTGTTGTAAATTAGTATGTACTCCAAGGCTGCATTCAAAATATAAGTTATTGTACAGGCAGGAAATAAAAATTTGCAGCAATATTGCAGCCAAATTAGCAAAATTACAGCAAATTTGCTGCAAATTAAAAGGTTGCGGCAACCAGTTTGCAGGAGTTTGCAAGAAAACTTTGTATTGCTGCTAATTTGCAACAAATTTGTTATAACAACATGAGTTTGCAGCAGGTTTGCAAGAAAGTATTCAAGTCCTTACAAATTTGCAACAAATTTACTGCAAATTTGCAGCAAATTAGCAGCAAATTTGCAAGAATTTCTTGAGTAAATTGAATTTGCAAGAATTTTTGCAAATTTGTAGCAAATTTGCAGTGAATTTGCAAGAGAGTTTGCAGCAGGCCTGATATTTTGCTGTGACTACTGGCAGTATTTGATTTTACCTCCAAAGCACAGTGTCTGGGCTGCTACCTGTTGGATACAAGTCACCGTCATGTTACTGCATCACCTTATAGGGGCCATTCAGAACAATTTAGTTCCTACTAGCTAGTGCACACTCATTCCAAGAGGACTCTTGCTGAATGCAATCAAACTACCAGTAGCTAGTGTTCACGAACTCACTATGAATAGACCCATAGATTACTGATCTAGTGTTTTTGAAAGATATTTTGGGTTTACAAGATAATATTATTGAAATGTTTGTTTTAATACAGAACCCGTAAAATTGAATAATTAGAAAATAAAATCACACTGCAATTAATTGATACACAAATCCAGAAACGTATTTGTTTCAGTTTGTGTTTGAAGTGACCCGTGGCAGTAATTACAAAGGAAATTATGCCATTGATGATGTGACTGTAACAGAGGACTGTCCTTTAAATTTACGTAAGTTGTTGATCAAGTTCAGTATGTTAGACTAGTTTTGAAAAGAAATAAACAGAGGGAGACTAATTCTCAATTGCAGACACTTGCTGTCAGGCTTAAATACAGGTCAGTTTGGAAAGTGGCCCCAACTATGAGTTTTCTTCAGTTGTTATGTTTTGTGTGTTTGTGATTTTTAGCCTTTGCACAATACATCCTATTGCACCATTGATATGGGATGTTTGAAAAGTGGAAACTGCTGTAATGTGCTTTAAACATGCTTAACTGTTGTTATCAATTTTGGGTAAATTAAAAATTGGGTTTATTTTTTCATGTTATTGATTTTAACATATTGTTTTTTAAAAAACATTTTTTCACAAATATTGGAATATCTAATTTTTTTAAACCCTTGCAACTGTTAAGTTTGATATTTATTACACTTTCAGATGTACATATATCCTGAGCTTTCTCTTTAATTGCACTGTTTAATATTGATTTAACACTATATAATTATATTGGCTGTCACATTTACAATTTCCAATATAACTTTACATATGGATATTTTTGTTAAAAAACACTAGGGTACATGTACACGTAGTAAATTATGTGAAAATGATTTTAACTCTAAAGGTCTATCAAATATTTACAAAGATGTAAACAAATTGCTCTTCAGCCTGGAACTGTTCCTTTGATGCTGATAAATGTGGCATGATTGACCAAACAGATGACAATGTAGACTGGATCAGAAAAACAGGAAGCACCACATCATCATATACAGGTGCCAGTGCAGACCACACCAGTGGGTCAGGACACTACATGTACATTGAGGCATCAGATTATTCTATGGTAAGGGTTAAAGGCACAGAATAAAAATGATATCTCATGGGATGAACCAGATATATTTTCTGACAGTATTCCAAATATTCTTTGTTGATGCATCCTAAAGTTTTGACAGTCTTCTGACAGATAAAATGCCTGTCAGTGTAAACTGGAAGACCCAGAAGACATCTTCTGTCCACCCCTGTACCTGTTTGATTTGTAGTCTTCACATACGGTTACAGTAGAACCATTGCACCTCAACATACTCAAGTGCTGCGGTAAATTAATTAACTCAGAACACAGAAATTGAAGATATTATCATAACTTATTGGGAGGGGGTTGATCTAGTATCTCACATGAAAAATATATACAATATCAACTATTTGGATGTATTGTGACCCTGTGATGAAATCCAACAGCAGAATTGGTGGCTGTTAAAGTGACTTCTCTGGCACTTGTCATCAAGTCAGTTTTAACTAATAATTAAAATTATTATCAATAAAATTAGATTTAGTAATTTAATAATAAAATTTATTTTGATATTAATTGCCTCCTTACAACATAACACATCTCGTGTGTTTGGCAGACAGATAAGTGAAGACAGATGATGTACGTAATGGTTGTTTAGTACCTACCTACACGATGGATCCGCAGAGTTCAAATGAAATAATTGCTTCATCTGCTCAAAAATCACAGAGGTTGAGCAAAAATTTATGTGTGAAATTGACGTTAACTTATCACTCAGCTGACCAGCCTCTGGTGGAATGATTTTATGAAAAAATATGTAAGTTATTAACCTAGGTTACTTTAAATTCCAGAGCGATTCTGATAAAGCTCGTTTGGCCACACCGTACCTGAATAACCCTAGTGGTTGCTCCGGAAGAGTGAGTTTTTGGTATCATGCCTATGGAAGTGGTCTAGGTCATCTGAAGGTGTTTTACATGAAGGCAGGTGACAGCACACTGTATGGGCCAGTATGGACACACCCAGGAGTTACTGAGTCTCACAACCAATGGAAAACTGGGTCTGTTGAAATTCCTACTACTTCAGCTTATAAGGTAGGCATTTTTTTCTATGGAAAAATTGCTGTCAGGAAATGTAGAAGAGGCATTTTTTTCTATGGAAAAACTGCTGTCCGGAAATGTAGAAGTTATTATTCCTTTTTTTTTTTTAGAAAGAATGTTCTTTAAAAAAATTAATTAAAGTTCAATAACTTGAACAGTTTTGAAGATATTGCTATGAAATTTGGGCTATTTTAGAAAAATTATATTTTTAAGAAATGCTGGATATTTCATGTCTCTTAGCCTTTCTTGGTTTTGGCACACCAAAAAAATAAAATCTCAAATTCAACATTGCCATGCCAGCCTACATGTATTTTAATTCTGACAGGTGTCAGTGCCTGGCAGTTTTGACTCCTGCCAATGTTTTTTTGATTTGATGATAATATCAAAAGTATTTCTTTTAGACACATGAAATTTTCGTGGTTGAACAATAATGTTGTATCAAAAATCAGTCCAAAATTCCAATACAGAATCTTATGAACTCACAATTGGAGCTATTTCACATTGAATTTAGTAACATCTTTTTTTTTATCCACCAGCAATACATTATACACCACCGTCAAAAGCATACATATATGATGTATGTAACATTCACACCACAGTGTATACTGCAGAGACACTGTGCTGACTTGTTATGTACATGTCTATTACATGTACATGAACTGTTATTGTAATTGTGTTGTCTGTCACATTACAACAGCGTTCCATTTGCTGAATAGACTGGAAGTTAATTATATTACGTCTGTTGATAAGTGACTAATACGTCAAAGATTAATTATAAGAGTGCATTCAGAACAGATGATTCATGGACTAACTGATCCCTGACTAAATATGGTCAACCCCAATAAAAAGAAAGCTGTTAATTCCCAGATGGTCTCCCTGCCTTCACATGTTCCATTAAATAGGTTAAAACTCGGCTCTGAGTTTTAATTGGCTCCTATAGTGATGGCACGTGTGGAGGCGGGGAGACCACCAGGGATTTAGAAATATTGCTTTCTTAGTGGGGATGGCTATATTTGGTCCACAGATCTGTAAGTCCAAAGATCAACTTGTTCAAATGTGGTGTAAGATAGTCTTGGAGGCTCGGAGCACTTCAGAATTGTTTAGAATATATTGTGTGAGGCTACTACTGGGTATCTGTTGAGCAGCAGGAGCATTGCCTATCTATCAGATATAGATACATAATATATAACCAAAATGAAATGGAAAATTATTGACAGGTAACTGTCATTAATGGAATCAGTTTTTAGTATGTTTTAGAATGATTATCTTAAATGTTAATTTTCTAAGCTGATATATATTTTTACAATAGGTAGTGTTTGAAGCATCTAGGGGCACAAGTTCAAAAAGTGATTACTGTTTGGACGATATTTCAATAACAGCAGGTCGCTGTGGTGGATGGTGTAAGTATTTTTATTCAATAACACCTAGCAAGTCTCTTTGAAGGAGCTCCCTCGTTTCTTTCTTTTTTTTTTTTGTATTGTTGGGGGGGGGGGGGGGGGTGTGGCTTACAGAATGTAAAATGTTGCAGGAGTACTCCCAGAGTATAGCCAGAGTACTCCGGCCACATAAAAATGTTGCCAGAAAGCATCCCCACAGGGTAGCCGCTAGCGGCTTATCTAGATCTGTGGCTATATGCAGTGTATGTTGCCGGAGAAAAGCCGCAGGGGCCGGAAGCTAGCCTCTAGCGGCTGCACTCCGGCAACATGCCCTGTATGTTGCCACAGGAGAACCGCTAGCGGCATATTTGTGCCTATATACAGTGCATGTTGCCGGAGTTTAGCTTCTGAATTATGTATAATGACAGCATTGATGTTTATTTATGATTTGTTAGTTATTTTTATAGCAGCATACTTTATTGTTTATTTTGGAAATATAATCAGACTCTCCAGAAGACAACAACCATAAAGTTGTTCTGTTTGAAATAAATCATATTGATATTTTTCCATTCACGAATTCTAAGAAATTATTTTTATTTACATGGTATTAAGAAAAACATTTGGAACTGAGCCTGTAGTACATACATATAAGAAATCATTTATATGTAAGTTATATATATATTATTATGTTGATGCATTTTTTCTTATAAATATATGTACAGTGTCTATATGTGGGTCCATCAGCATGCAGTTTAAAAGTTAAAAAAAAAAGGTGGTCAAAACCATTACATCAATTTTTTTTTACCCAATATAATAATAATAATAATAATAATAATAATGCATTTAATTTTTTTTTGTTACATAAAAATGTGTATAGTTTTGTATATTTCATGCTTGCTGTGACAGTATAAATGCATGTACTATTTTTTGTATTACATTCACAAGGTCACATGTACTATAACATATATGAATACATGTACTTCCTGTGAAAAGTAGTTCCATTACAATCAAAGATGGTCGTCTGCTAGTTTTATTTGCACAATTTACAAGTTCAGGAAAATAAGGTATCATCCAAAGTGTTTGTGCATTTTTAAATTAAAATTTATTTTTTTCGTGTTAACAACAAACTGGTGATGAAATATCTTTGAATCTAGAAGTGGTAAGACTTTGAGAAGCTTGACAAAGTACATTTGGAATTTAGGTATCTTTTCATGAACAGCTACAGTATGATGAATATGAAGAATTGGGACTGTTCTGTTGAGAGACTTGAGTTATTCTTTACTGACAAATGGACTATAAGAAAAATTGCCATCAGCATGGAAATAACTATAACTAACAATATATATACAATCTGAATCAAATATACACAGCTATAGCATGTTGCTACCATGCACTTAAATGATAACAGGAAAGTAACTATACTTAAAACACTTTCACAGACTTCTGAGAACAAGATTAATTCAATTAAAAAAAAAAAAAACTTAAATATTTCAATTTCTAAGTTAATTCATTTTGCAGACTTTTTACAGTTATTAGGATTGGTAACAAATTAATGGTTTCAGTACTTAATGAAGGTCTAGCAGTGTACTCCCGGAGTATTCCCGCAATGAGTGTTGCTGGAGTAGTCCCGGAGTAAACCATTTTATCATGCAAATGAGTGTTGCCAGAGTATCCCCACAACATGTTGCGGGAATATATACTCCGGGATTACCCCAGTGGTTTGCTGGAGTACTCTGCCAACACTAATTTGCATGATAAAATGGCAATATGTTGCGGGAGTATACTCCAGCAATCATTGCAGGAAGTCTATTTTGTCGGTAAGGGCACATATGTGCGCATGCGCGGCCGGCTGGGGTGGAAGATGCAGATGGATTAATTGTTATATTGAGTTCATTACATACAATCTCAGATATAAAAAAATATTTTATTACTGTAAATTAAATTATGAAAATTCTAACAGATGTTATTTGTTCTGAATAGTGGAGGATTTTTACAGGGTTTAACTGCGATTTTGAACAAGATGAGTGTGGCTTGGTGCAGTCTACTGCAGATGATGGAGACTGGACGAGACACACAGGATCTACATTTACGTCCGGCACTGGGCCATCAGGTGACCACACCACAGGCTCTGGATACTACATGTACATGGAAGCAAGTTCTATGGTGAGTGTACATGTATGGTGGCCTAATAGACTACTATATTAGCATGTATAAGTGTAATTTGTACTTGTACTTGTGCGTGCATGCCATCGTCTTAATGCACCCCCCCACCTTCCTTGCCATGCATGCACGCACATACCCAGTACAAGTCGAATTACAAATCAAGCACACTTGTTTATGTAGAAACAATACCTTGATGGAATCTACCGGTAGATAGACAAATATAATAAGCCTTAGTAATATAATACCTAGTTTTTGTTTAATTCCTAGTTTTTGTGGAGATCATGTACTAGTAGATATTAGGTCTGTTTATTTTTTGTTCATATTTTTTATGGTCAGAATTGAGATCTTTTTTTTTTTTTTTTGCTGTTTGGTGTCCATTTATTTTATAAGCTTTGCTGTTTAGTGTTTTATATGAAGGTAGAATTGAAAAGTTATGTTAAACCTTTTCTTATATGTACTTTCAGGCCAACAATGAGTATGTCATCCTAGAGACCCCACTGTTTCCAGTACTCAATGCACAGTGTACCACTGTCACTGTGAATCTTTGGTACCATGCATTTGGAAATCAGTGGAGGTCATTCATGGTGTCCTATGTGGATTCCATTGGAAGTTACAGTCTGTTTCATATCAAAGAATGGGAGAAAGATTTTTGGCGTTTTGTTTCATCCACTTTTAAGCCCAGTGTGAATTTTAAGGTATTTTTTTTATTTGTTTTCAATTGTGCTTGCAATAATAACATCAGAAATGCCTGGATCACTCAGATATACCAATCATTTTAAAACCAGGCGAAATTACAAAAATTTTGTCTCAAGCATATTGTTTATTAGCATGATTTTGAGGCAGTTATTAAACAAATTAGGCTGTCAAATATAAACCATAAACTGTGTGGAAGTCAGGAACACACTTCAGGAATTACTATTATGGCGACACAGAGCAGAATGAAGTAACTATAATCCTCTCTCACACTTAAAAATTAGGCTGTCAAATTTAAATCATAAACTGAGTGGAAGTTTTTGGTTTATTTTTCAACTGATTTAAGTAGCAAACAAAATTTAGGAATATTTAACAAAATTATTAATACGTTAATTTACAATACTGCTGTATGCAAAAATGAAAATTGGTTGTATGGTAACTATACAGTAAATATAGAAAATCATTATATAGTTAATCATATAGGATACTTGTGATATGGCACAAGTATGATGAAAAGTTCTATAACACAAGTTGTAGAAAACTTTTCATTAATTATTCACAAGCTAAGCTGATTAACCTTTAGGGTATCAATATTTCTTGGGGATGTTTTTTCTACAGATGCAGTTTTATGCTGAAAGAAGGAATGGTGAAGCAGCAGACATTGCAATTGATGACATCTCTATATCACAAGCTGATTGTGCATTAAACACTGGTAAGCGTTTTTTTTTTTTTTTCACCTGATTGTATGTTGCCATATCCTGTCTAATTTGCTTCAATTTTGGGAACGGGATTAATTTCATGAATGGTCAGTATGCCATATGGATCGATGCTCATGTAAAAAAAAAACAAATAGTTTAATCCATATTTATTGTAGGAAGTTAGAGGTATGATAGATAGAGGTACTTCCCAATAGATGGTGTGAATTTACTGCAAACACAACAAGAATAGTGTTGATTTTAGTACAGTTTTTCATTGAGTGTCTTGTCTTTGAAGCCAATAAATCTATCACAGTCAATGAATAGCTTTTGTTGTAAAATTATTAAATTAATTTTTCAGCTCATGAGTTGTCACAAGCATCTCCATACCAGTGTACATTTGATGATGGCACTTGTCAGTTTGTACAAGATGGACACTCTGATGATAACTTTGACTGGTATCTCAACACCAAGGACACACAAAAATCAAATACAGGCCCCAGTCAGGATCACACTTCAGGAATTGGATATTACTATTATGTCAACACAAGGCTGAATGATGTAATTATAATTCTTTTTCTCTCTCTTAAAAATTATATTTTCATCAACTAAAATTTGGTTTGCTTGTTTATCAGTGGGTAATGTATCTCAAATAACAAAATTAAACCGAGTCTGCTTATATTTTTACAATATGGTAATGATTTGATCTTTTTAATGGGAAAAATGATCAGTTGTTTAAATTCATTTTTGGAAGGATTAAAAATATATTTCTGTATACTGTAGTATTTGTGGTGCTTTTACAGTATAGAATGGAACTATAATATCCTGCTTTTCAGTGTTGTTATTACCTTTAATTTTAGAATAAACGATAAAAAAAAAATACATGATTTTCCCCATTGAAAAGATTAAGTCATTACCCTTCCCTATTGCCTTTTTTTGTAAGGTGGATGTCTGTGCTGTTGGCTTGTTCTCTATTTACATGTATACATTCAGTGATTTTAGTTCTTTGTAGTTTTTAAAGCCACCTGTGCTTTATTTAAAACTTCATTTTAGCCTCAAAACAGGTCAGCTCACTTTCATATCATCAGCCTGTATCCATTGTATCCAATTTTTTTTTTGCAGGTCAGTGGTCACACGGCACGTCTGCTGTCTCCCAATTTTCACTCAAGCTGTGGTGGTGCCACACTGGGTTTCTGGTATAATGCTGATGGAAATGCTCTTGCTGGCCTGAATGTAAAGCTGAAGAAAGTTGGAAGCAGTGAGAATCTGTTGTGGCACCATGATGGAACTGATGAAAATGATGTCTGGCGTGAAGTTACACTGGAAATAGACTCTGATACAAATTTTGTTGTAAGAATATTATTATGCATAATTGACATTGCTTGAGCTTATAATTGTATAAGTGTTTTAAGTTAGTGTTTTATATTAAGTTCTTAAATGCCTTTTTTTATTTTATGTCATATGAGGCGTAAGCCTGTACTCACTTTACTCTGTTCATTTACTTAGATTGTGTTTGAAACTGAATCCAGAGGACAAGAAGGAGAATATGCAATAGATGATGTTACTTTAACAGTCCCATCTGATTGTGGGGGTGAGTGAAGTTCAAAATGTGATTTTTTTTGTCATCTAGGCAATCACTTAAACAATTTTCAAGCATGACCACCTAGTATATATTGCAGGAGTATTGAACAATCTTTTTGTAAACAAGAATTATATGTCAAATTAAAAATGTTGAATTTTTACATTGTCTGACTAAAGATGCAAGATTGTACAGATCAGATCTACAAGAGTCAACCAAATGTAGTGTATGTTTATTAAGTTCATTTGAAATAAAAAAAAAAATAGAAAAGTAATACAAAGATGAGCTGATATAATTTTACATTTGTTTTCATTTCACAGTGTTTACCTACAATTTTACCTGTAACTTTGACACAAATGACTGTGGCGTCACCCAGCGAACAGATGATAATGGTGACTGGCAGCGTAATAGTGGTGCTACCAGCACATCAGGCACTGGTCCTAGCAGTGACCATTCAGGTTCTGGAAGCTACTTCTATATAGACGGCACTTACTTTGTAAGTAGTACGGTAATGACTCAGTCTTGCTAATGGGCAAAAATTATCAAACTTTCAGATAATAAATTACTTAAAGGCAAAAATCATAGTTCCTTGTAGTATTTGTTGTGCTTTTTCTGCACAGAATATAACAATAGAGTAGCATGCTTTTTTTAATTTTGTTGCTGCCACTCAGTAGAAATGTTTAAATTATAAGAAATTATGAGAAAAAACTACAGTATCTGTAAAATTCATAATTTCCCCCCTTGAAAAGATCGAGTAAATGTGGCAGTGTTAGGCACAAAGAAAAAAGGAATAAATTGATGTACCTTTCTCTTATCTTCAATGTCAAGACTTAATTTTTTTATTTGAGGATCATACCTCAATATACTTTATCATTCTCTTCCAATCTGATTTTTGACAGGTAACATTAATGGAAATATCCTGTAATGGGGTTTACTGTGTTAAATGGAAGTATATGTACTTATATGTACATGTCACACAGTAAGTAGTCACCTTAACTACTACACTTTACATCTTATTTATTTAGGGTGACCGAGAGTATGCTGCATTTGAAACGCCTCGCATAGATTTGGCCTATAATTGTAGTCTTGTGACACTGCGTTATTGGTACCATGGATATGGCAGTGATCTCCTCTCTTTGACATCAAAGTTAGTGGATGCTGGGGGTGAACACTGGATTCACTTCATAAAAATGCTCTCATACAATGAGTGGTTTCTTGTAGAATCTTCTTTCAAACCATTCAGTAAATTCAAAGTAAGTACAAAACAATGATATTCTACTCAATTCATAACCTTTTGAAAGATCAAAAGTGGTATGTTTACATTGTTCAGAGATTCTTTTCATTCTTTAAAAATTGTCAAGTAAAATAACAGAATTACCAAATGTCATAAATTTGGTAGTTCTACATTTCTTATGTTCAATTTTTTTTTTTTTTTTTGAAATGGGATTTAATGATGACTTGGTAGGCCTTTTTAGTTAAGTCTATTGTTTTGTCCAGGTGCGATTTACAGCAACAAGAGATGATGGATGGGAGAGTGATTACGCAGTGGATGACATTTCTATTACTCAAACCGACTGCAATGAAAATGGTAATGATTTATGTATATCATCTCTATCTCCAGTGATACAAGATTTGATAAAAGAGATCAGTTACAAATGCTATATCTAGTTTGATTGGCTACTTAAAACAGCATATTTATGCAAACCCCAAATGAAAAATTACAGTTTTTATTACCTAACTAAGGCAATCAGAATAGTAATCTGAATGAGTAATCTCTTCAGGAATGGAAGGCTGTCCTGCTTTAAAAAGACTTATCTTAACATCATGTACAGATCACCGTTTTTCACATTTGAACAAACATTTCATGATGATTTCATGATAATAACAGAAAACTATGATTGGTTTTTCATTAAGCTTGTATTGTAGAAAAAAGGTTTATGTATGAACAGATATGTTTGTCATCTAGATGAGATTACATGTGTTCATATATTTTAATTGTCACCAGGACAGTGCACTTATGGGCTGAGCTTCAGGACTTGTTTGCACCTTGGGATTTCTAGTTAATAGTCTTAAATATTTGAATAAATAAGTCTAATTATGAGCCATAAGTGTTGGAATAAACAATCACAATCACAATCACATACTTTTAAGAGCTTTTAAATTTGTTGCTTTATTTTAATGCTGTATGAAGTGTTAAGAATTTTTGTTTTTATTTATATTGTAAGGTGTTTAATCAATACATATGTAGATGAAATAATAGTCTTAATTATGATGGAAGCAACTATTTAATTAGCAATTCCTCAAGTTTTGGCTGATTGATGGTTTGTTTTAGCATTGACACAGTTCAGCTGTACATTTGAAGATGGGGTGTGTGGCTTTGAGCAGGATTGGGATGACGATACAAACTTCTTCCTATCTACAAGACAGACTTTGAGCTCTAGCACCGGACCTAGTGGAGATTTTACGGATATGTCAGATACAACTGGTTATTTCATCTATTTGGAGGGGACTGACCCTTCACCTCAGGTAAGTCAAATTTCAAACTTCGTCTACATGTAAGATTCCCCTTGGTAATGGCATTTCCAACACTTTGGTGCCTTTTATATTCCTACCACTTAGTTTAAAAGTTGGTAATGATGAATGCAATTGTTTATTTTAAATTTGTTCTCTTTTAAAATCAGACATGAAAAGTTTAGAACATTTTATAGAGAGGAACAAATATACTGGAAGAAAAAAGACCTCAGTCTGTGCTTGGACACATAACATAATTATGTCCAAGGTCTGTGTAATGACTGGCAATGATATCCAAGGGTTCTTCCATTAAAAAGTGAATATTTAATTTGAGTCTTGTCATTAATGTAAACATTTTGTGTAATATTTGTATAACAGTTTTATATAACTTATATTGTTGATTTCATTCTGTTATTGGAGGGTGCTACAGTATAAATAAAGGAAAGAAAGGGACGAGTCAAAATTATGTAAATATTGCACATAATGTGTGTCACAGATATGACTCATTTTTAAAATGTTGGCCCCCAACTGAATTGGTTCAGCATTAAATGGTCTTTGGGTCTTCCTTTGCTACTTATTTTGTAGGAATAAAGATATGGCTTGAATTTAACATAATACCTTTAAAGATAATTAGTAACATTTCAGTTTATTTCATTGGTCTTTGTTTTTAGCCCAATGGAGCTATAGCACGAGTACGAACACCTTGGATTGACCTTAGCTCAACTGGTGCCTGTGCAGCTGCTTTGAATTTCTGGTACCATGCTTTTGGTGCTGCACTTGGTGATCTACGGGTTTATTATCACCTGGATGATGGCAGCAATGACAAACTGCTTTGGTCACAAGGAGGCAGTTCAGAAGACAAATGGAAATCCAAGTTATTACTGTTACCTCTTAAAAATACCAAGTTTCAGGTAAAGATGCTAAAAATTAAAATTATGTATCTTTATTCAAAGTACATGATGCAGTATATATTTATAGTGATATAGATTTAAAGGGACTATAGATACAGTGCATTATGTTTTCTGTAGTTTGGGAATGTTAGTCAGACTAAATCAAATCCTCAAAGTCACATATGAAGAATGATACATGCACTGTCACCATAGAATTTAAATTATGCCATATTCTTCAAATTTCAGATTGTTTTTGAAGCTCAGAGGGGAAATGATCATGAGTCTGATTATGCCATAGATGATGTGAATATTTTAACCCAGATGAACTGTAAGTATATATAAAAAATAAAGAATTCCAAAGATATTTGACATAAAAATTTTTGAAAAAAATGATTGAAACTTTGGGTATTGAAATTACTAAATAATTCCAGCCAATATGTATTAATAATTCCCCCTCCTGCCCTCAAAATGTTTTGTACTAAGTAATACTTAAAAAGCTGATTTGAAGATTTTGAAAGTTGACTTTGGTTCAGAAAGTACAATGTTACTAGTGTCTTAAAATATTAGAAATGAAAGAAAAGAATATTATAAGAAGTGAAGGATTTGAAAATTTGAAGTAATTACTGTCAGTGGAGGCATAAAGTTACTTCATATAACTCTCTAGTGAAACAAAATGGTGCCAAAAAAATAGCAAACATCTTTTCTGCTATGTTTTGGTCTTCTTTTTAAGAGATTTCATAAATGTTGCATTCTTTTCTGTCTTTTAATATTGATAATATCTCTTGCAGATTGCATTGGGTATATATTTTAATTAAGAGAAGCTCAATGATTGTCATATACTTGCATCATGATATAGAGAAAAAAGCAAAAATATTTTTTAAAACTATACCAAAGATATAACAAATGTGAATAATCTGGTAACATATTAATTTCAATCAAATTGAATATTTATTATAATACAAATTGCAACATTTTTGAGGCAAAAATAGATACCTTGTGGTGATGATGATGTACAGTACTTAGGATTCAGTTTAAAGTACAATATGCACTGTTATAGACTTTTAATTTCAGGTGAAAACCTTGCTTTTGGAAAAGAGGCATATGCTGGTAGTACAAATGCAGTTTCACCTTATCAAGCTTTAGATGGAAACCAAGATCCGATTTATTCACATAAATCCTGCTGGGAATCTAATGCTATGACAGATCCTTGGTTTGTAGTAGATCTTCAGAGATACACCTTTATAACCACTGTAACTATTACAGGGAGAGGGGACTGCTGCAGTAAGTTGAACTATGCACATACCAATTTGCTTAAAAGGAAAGCAAAGCATGATTTTGAATTTGTTGCAAGGATCCCTTTTTTTAGTACATGTAAAACATTAAAGGTTTTGAGAATTCAAATTGTGATCTTAGACTATTAAAAATATTGAAAAATATTTGGACCTGCTGGTAGGGTTACAAATATTACAACTGATTTAACACTCCATCACCCTAAAAAATTGTTATTATTATTATTATTATTATTATTATTATGTCATAAACTCATATATAGTATCTCACCTGACATAAAATGTGTTCCAGATGACCGTCTTCATGACTTCGTAATATCTGTGAGTGATGAGTTTGACATCGACAGAGGACATAACTCTAGTACTTGGACCTGGTGTTCTAACTTTACTGGAACATGGCCTGGAGGGGGAGCCACTGACACTTTTAACTGTGCCAGTCCACTAGCAGGCAGATATGTCTCCATTCAGATAGAAGGAAACAATGAAATTATGAATCTGTGTGAAATACAAGTGAAAGGAGATGATAATAGTGGTAAAGAATTCAGTCTGTTTAGATATTAGGCCACACTTTTTTATTTTTATGGATGACATCCTGTGCGCGCACCAATTTTCGTCCGTTCTCCGAAAAGAAAAATCACCCCCAACAAAGTCGGTTGTCGCAAACGTCGTTATTGAATTTGCTGGAAAATGAGCTTTCTGCATATGTGTGTTATCACCACATGGATATATGGCCCCTTTGCTGTCAAATTCATCTCTGGGATTACTTTCAAATTACAGGACAATTAAAGTTAGAATGGGGCCCTTTTTTTCGGATTGGTATGCCATTGATATTGGGCATGGAGATATCACCTTTTTACAATTATACTAGCAGCTGCCAGCGATTATCGCCCGGAAAATTTCAGTGACGTTCTGTCCAAAGCAGCACATACCAGTTTTTTTTTGTAGCAAAAATAGGGTCGACAAGAGCGGCGAGGTGTTTGGTGGACTGAAGGTTGGACAGGCCACCCAACCGTTTGGCTGCTTCGTGAAGTAGACAAAATGGCATCGACTGAAATGACCTTAGATAGATTTGGTAATATGCAGCATATCTGTTCATGACTTTTTTTACCTTTCTACAAAGTATTCACAGTGCTTTAATATTTTGAGAGCATGGATAAAGACATATTAATGTTAGTTTAATACGTGTTTCTGTGGTAAATTTGTGCATTTCTTTACTTAAGCAGTATTTTTTTTGGCCTTTTTTTTTTTTTTTTTGGCCCTCTCGCACCAATTTCGGGTCCCCAGAGGATGTCATCCATAAAAATAAAAAAGTGTGGCCTTAGTATGGAATAATACTAGCACGTAAACTAAAGGTTTTGATTTACAAAAGTTTTTCCATTAGAAATATTATAATAATCGATGCTTGTCAGTAATTCACATTTTCACCGTACTACAAGGTAGGATGGGAAATTGTTTTTTTTTTATTTTGAATGCATTTGATTGCTTTATTTTATTGTTGTCTAACATATCTGCCCCACCATCTGCAGGTCTACCATACGAAACAAGCTGTGACTTTGAGAACTCCACCATTTGCAACTTTAATCAGCTCACATCAGATCAGTTTGACTGGACTTTGAAGAGCGGATCCACTCCTACTGCAAGCACTGGACCTTCTGCTGACCCTATAACAAAAGAAGGAATAGGACATTACTTGTATATTGAAGTAGATGGTCAAGTATGTAGAGTGCACCAAATTTATTATGCATTAATTAATTAATTAATATGAGATAAAAAAAATTCTTAGAAAATCTAGATGTTGGCTGCATTTCTAGTCTGGAACTGGCATCTGTTTGGTACATGTAATACAAGTTAGGAGAAAATTCTACAATATAGCTGATTTATTAAAAATACATAATATGTACTAATCCAACTTTTAGTCAAATGGTGCCATAGCTGCTTTGGAAACTCCAGATCTTGAGGTTCATCAGTGTGGATTAGTGACTTTGAGATTCTGGGCACACATCTATGGTGGTGATGTCAATGCACTGACTGTAATATTACTTGAAAAAGAATCTGGACAATCGACTTTTAACAGAAATATGAAACTTTTCCATCTAAATGAGGTCCGGAATGCATGGAAGGAACATACATGGATCCTACAACCATCTGGAATTACTCATTTTAAAGTATGTTCGTCTGCCTGCCTGTCTTATATTTCCATCTGTATGTCTCTCTGTCTGGAAACTTGTTTGTCTGGCTAATGCTTGTCAAATATATATATGTTCCAGAATCCATTTGATCTACCGTCCATATCCATTTAATTTCTTTTGTAAACTTTCACAACCTTAATAGTGCTTTTGCAAATAGAGTGATCCTATTTATGAAACAAAACAAAATAGTTAAGAAACTCACTGAAATTAGATGTTTTTCTTATTTGCTTATATAGATATTCTAAACCTTCATATTATTAAAAACAAGCAAAATATTTTTCATCTCTTTGAATGTGTATATATTTCTTTCAAGGCTTGATACATGTATATAGAACAGTTTTTATGTCCCCTCCTAATTGGATACCAAAGTTCTTGTAAATTAATTGTATTACAAAAGGTAAATGTAAAACTAAACATCCACATTCTTTTTGTAGATTCAGTTTAATGGTATTGCTGGATCTGGAACTGGTGGAGATATAGCTATTGATGGTATTAGAGTGATTCAGGTGCCTGGCAACTGTATAGAAGGTATGCTAAAGTAGAGGTTATTGTAACTTTTTTCTGTGTTTGTGTGTGTACTGAGTAAAGTTGTTAGAGCCTTTAATTTGTTTATTTAAATGTGTTCCTTAATATTTTGGCTTAAATTTTTCTATGACCTATTTTTGTGCAGATTTTAAATTATCTTGATCCTCAAAGTGGAGGGGTGTTTAAAAACCTGCATTTTTGCCTTAATTGCCACAAAACATGAAGCTGGACATGAATATGTATATGGGGGCAGTGGCAATAGTCTGAAGGTTTAATAGTCCGAAGGTTCATTGGTCCGAATGTTCATTATAGATCCTTCGGACCAACAAAACCTTGATTAAAAAACTGATGAAAATGCTACAATTTTTCGGACCAGTGAGCCTTTGGACTATCGAGACGCCCCCTGTATATGTATCTTATAGGTATATGCTTCATTTATTGACAAAGATTATGGTTATGTGTTATATTTCAGTAATATTTTAAAGATGATTGTCTGGCAGTTATCAAAAGCCCAAACCATGAATAATAATAACTCAAATAGTCTGAGGTTGAAAACAAATGAAGGCAAACCACTCTTGTCTTAATTGGGAGGTCCAGATCACCTTTCGCATAATCATTGATGACTGCCTCAGTCATTAGTTTATATGATCAGTTATTTTAACTGCATATTTGATGGTCTTCCATTATAGTTGTGTCCACCCCAGCATCCTTTCAATTTGACAGTGATAACTGTGGTTTCACACAGGATAAAGATGAAGAGTTGGAGTGGACTCTTTATAAGAGAGAGGCTCCAGGGAGGAGTAGCACTGGGCCACAGGCAGACCGCACGGGGAATGATGGATTTTACTACCTGCTGGAGCCCAGATATCAGGTACATGTGCTACCTCTCTGGTAATGTATTTGACGGGGATCTGGGGGGGGGGGCAGGCATAAGGGGGAGGGCAGCATAATTAACATCTTTGAAAACCGTACCACCAATGTGATGCATTCCTTCTCAAGTGATCACACAAGCTCTTAAATGATTTTATGTATTTTGAGACTGTTTCAAATCATACATAAATAAAATAATTAAGTTAAAATTCTGTACTGGTTGGAATAAATATGTAACAGTTAACAATTTAATTTTGCAGACTGCTTCTTCACAAGCCATAGCAAGGATAAGATCCCCATGGATAAACATTTCCCAGGAACACTGCCAGGCCACTGTAAGCTTTGAGTACCATGCATTTGGATCTCATTTGGTGACTTTCAATGTGAAATACCAGATAAATGGCAGCAGCCAGGTATATACAGCATGGAGTCATGACGGCAGTAGTCAAGATCAGTGGAGACATGTGGATGTCCTCCTAAACACTACGGAGAGGTTCCAAGTAAGAGAGCATTTGGTTTAAACCAGCTTGATATGGTGAATTTTGATAATTCACAATGTTGAAATTTTGTTATGGTGATGAAATATATATCACATCTATCAAATATCCTCCTTGGATTGCATGATTGGCATCAGAACATAGTGTAGATTTTTGTCACTAATATCTGTCATAATTTCAGGTCATATTTGAAGGAATAAAAGCATCAGGTGCCACGGTGGATGACAGCTCTATTGCTATTGATGACATAACAATAACAAATGCAGCCTGTGGTATGTCGGTTGTGAACAATTCATCTCGGGGGGAAAATAATAGGAGAATATATTTTATCTAGTTTCGGAGCCAGTTTCTTTACAACCCTGAAAATATTTCTGTTGATTTTTACTCCTGGCACTTTTAATTACTTCTTCAACATTGGTAACAGCTAGAATTTTAAACATATATATATATATATATATATATATATATATATATATATATATATATATATATATATATATTAGTTAAACTGAGAATGTTTAGTATCTTTGAAAAGACCGGCCTGTATATTCTTTTAAAACAAGTGGCAATCAATGCTTTTTTTCAGGCTGCACACCTCCACCCAATGGTACCATGGCCTCTTACAGCCCAGTGAAAACCCACTATAGGAACTCAGAGGAGGTTCAGTACACTTGTGATGCTGGTTATTCACAGAGTGCAGGGAATATAAGCTTTACCTGTGGAGTGACTGGACAGTGGACAGGAGGGGCACCATTGGAGTGTGACCGTAAGTGAAATATCTGATTCTTATGGTTGAAACTGAAATTTTGTTTAGGAATAATTATCCCCATTAAGTAAACAAACATTTCCTAACAAGTTCCAAGTATTTCATGTAGATAAATGTTTAAGATAATTAGATATTATGATTTACAATATTTTGTAACCTCCATAAGGGCCATTATTATTTGGAATATTTTGATGATATACTCTAGGATGTAATGACCCTGGTGAAGGGGTGAATGCCACAAAAACAGTGGGGGGATATCAGATAGGAGGCGATGTCACATATGGTTGTTTCCAAGGCTACGATGTTGTCAATGGATCTCTAAGACTCACATGCCAGGCAAACTTTACTTGGGATGGATATCCACCAACATGTGCATGTATGTCAATCATTTTAGAGACTTAAATTTAAGTGTCACCCTTTTTTCTTTATCAGAACCTCAGAATTAAGAGAAACTATTCAAATATTAAGATGTATGAAATGGCAAAAACTGTTTTGATGATATGGTAAAAAAGAGCACTGTAGTGAACAAAATTCTCTTCTTGGTACATAGTTGTCCATAGTATTACAGAGATATTTCTGTATATGCTTTGTCTAGTAAGATTTATTGTAGTGAAATATGTTTTTTTTCCTCTCCAGACCTGGCAGATAAAACACAGTGCACCAGTCCTTGGGGTTATGGGTACTGGGGCAACTGCTTTATCATCAATTCAACAGAAGTATCTCCATCTGAAGCCAGAAGGAAATGTTTGGAAGTTGGTGGCTACATAGCTGTGCCTACAGACACTGGCATAAAGAGTCATCTTCAGAATGTCCTCTCCACATTACCACAGTACTCATCAATTTCAAAATGGCTGGTTGGCTTACACGATCCATATTCTTTAAATGTTTATCGCAGTGTTGATGGCTCCTTCGTAGATGTTACAGGTATCATGGATTCCAATGAACCATCTGATGTTTGGAGCCAATTCATGGTTATGTCACAGGGTAGTGGATATTTACTGCAGGATTTTAATGACACGGCTTCCTCTTTTATCTGTCAAAAGAATTATGGTAAGTTCTTATGGAAAAAAATAAGCAATCAATCTATAATATTTAGTTACACTTGATCAGTTAGAAAAAAATACAAATTTAAACTAATAAAAGCTATTTGATTTTACACACACACACACACACACACACACACACACACACACACACACACACACACACAGTTTTAAAACTATGTATAAAAATTACAAAATATTAATCCTTTTGTTAAGATTTTACTTTGTTACTTGCTTCTTGTCAGAATGAGACTTCCGTAAATATAGGTTTCAGATAATTAATCCATTGCTCTTTATTTTCAAGGATACCTTGGATGCTACCAGAAACCAACAACCTCTAAAGCAGAAGTAACCAGTGATAAACACATGTCAGCATTACAGTGTATAGAGTACTGTCGGGGACTTGATTACCCTATAGTTGCTGTGTCCCTCACTCACTGCTATTGTAGAACAAGCTATAATGATTTAGCAAAAGCAGATGAAATGATGTGTGAGCAGACGTGCACTGGGAATTCCCTGGAAAACTGTGGCGGTGCCAATCATGCCCTTTTGTTTATAGGCCGTAAGTATTGATGGCAGATACAATGTACATGTACCTTTAGTTTGAGAAGGATAAGAAGGAATTATATTTTCCTTTGTTTTTGTGGTAAAACAAAAAGAAATGTGTCTAAATTTCACTGAATTTCATTGAACTGGGCAAACTTATTTTTAATCATTTATCATACTTAGGTGTTTTTTAAAGGAACAGGTAAACAACCAATTTTAATTAGTTGTTAAAACATTCATAAGATTATTCATTGATTTTGCCAAGATAGCAGTGTTATTGCATTGGTGTTATATTTTTTCATTTCCCCAGCAATGTATCACTTGCGAGCATTAACTTGTGAATCTCTAAAAAGTCAAGGTGTGGTTCTTCCTGGTAAATACTGGATACGCCCTGATGGGAAAGAGGTTTCTTTGAGGGTGGAATGCTTCATGGGTATGTGTGGAACATAAAAAAAAAACATGCTTGAAATATATTCTGAAACTTTGTGATTGCTGTCAATGAATATAAAGTTTATACAACTTGTTAAATACTATTATAATGTTTAGATTGGAGTATCTGTCATTTTAGAAATTATGTATTGGCCTACATTTATCATCAGTATAATCTATAAAACCCTTTTCCCATACACACCTTTAGGCTAGTCGTAGGTAGATCAATCAAACTCTGTGGGGACTCAAGTTGAGTGCAATCAGCTTAACTGAACGACATGCCTCCTGGCATTTAGAAAAATACAGAAACGCTGGTGATTATAGAACGTTGGAAAGGAGAGGAGGCATGTCACTCAGTTAAGCTGATTGCACTATTTAAACAATCCGACAGAAATGTATTGGTCTATGCAGACCAATAGTGTGTATGTGATGGGGTCTAAGACAGACCTTGATTTTCCTGATTTACCTTTATCTTAATTAGAACCCTGCAGTGAGTCTCTGTTGTCATCCAGTCAAGTAGAAGTGTCATCAGAAGCAGCAGCAGCCAACTTTCAAAAACAAAACATTAAGTAAGATTTGTTTACATATCACACACACACACACACACACACACACACACACATTTATAGTATATGTAGTAAATGAAAACATACATCTTCAGACTTAGCAGTGTGATTCCCACCCCCTTTCTTGCTGGGTAAAACTTATTGCAAATCTATAGATTAATTTTTTTCATGTAGATCTTAATCAATTTTCTTCAAATTGTATGAATTTTTTTATGGAACATATGTAGAAAACAGGTTTTTATAAATGGTTTCTGATATACTTTTCCAGTCTTTATGATGAAGGTGCATGGGCTCCAAATACTTCTGATAGTGCCCCCTGGGTCAAGCTCACCTTTAATACCAGGCGCATTGTAACTGGGATTATCACACAAGGTAGGGTAACAGTAATGTTTTTCATAACAGGTAATAACTATAAAGATGATTAACTTTTGTGCTGTTGGGGAGACAATTTGGAAGGGTAGTTTGTGCTTTAATTTGAGAAAGTGAGGATGAGAGAGAGAGAGAGAGAGAGAGAGCAGGACGTAAGGATGGGAGGACGGGATAGTGGGGAGGAGATGAGATGCATAGAAAGCTAAAAACATAAATTTTCTCTGCTCTTAGGAGGGTATACCACACAGTCTACTTCAACAAACTGGATAACACGGTACAGAGTTTCTTACAATGATGAAAAGGGGTGGCACAACTATTCTTCCAATGGAACTCTGGAGGTATGGAGAGACATGTAACAATGACATTTGTACTTTTATAACATCTATTCTGAGACTCATAAAAAATGTTTATATTACCATATAAGTCTGAGTTGTTTTTGAAATCTACCATAATTGGCTTGTTAAGTGTTTGTGTTATCAAGAAATTACAGTGCATATAAGACCCCATTTCCAGAGATAAGTTCGATCTACTTTAGATCGACCTAACTCCCTAGGGGTTCACGCTAAATAGCTGTCAGCCGAGCGGACACGAAAGTTAATTACCCCCTTACAGCTTGTAGTAAGCAGGACGGACATTTAAGCCGGATTATCTGACAGTAATCTAGTGAGACTCCCCGCGGGGACAGGTCGATCTAAAAGCTCTGGGAATACAGCCTAAGTGTATATCTTAAAAATTTAACAGTGTCTGGGTATCTTACTGTTGAACATTAAGAACAACTGTTTTGCATATTCCTCACCTTAAGTGTAATATTTCAGCTGTCAGGGAACACTGATTGGAATGGCCTGGTTACACAGTATATGCAACCACCATTCATAGCAGATGCCATAAGTATACATCTTCTGGCCTGGAATGGGAGACCTGAATTGCGCTTAGAAGTACTTGGATGCTCCATTCAATCATTGGATGGTAGGTTGTTAATTTGTGCTTTTCACATACTAATATTTTGTTATACAAAAGGTCTAGTATTGTAAGTGCCATATTTAATTCATATTTTTGCTTAAACTATATATATATATATATATATATATATATATATATATATATATATATATATAATTCTAAGCTTGTAAATTAACTGTTGAGACTCTTTATTGATAATTGTAAGTAATGGGTATCTATATCAACAAAAAACAGAACTCAATTTTTGCCAAACATAATGTAATCAGATATAATCACAGGCTCTGCATATTATCATCTTATTTATTTTGACTGTAGTTTATTATAAATATATGCTTTATTCATACATACTGCACCAGACTGATCGAGCTTGTGAAAATGTACATAGATAAAGTATTATAATAATAATAATAAAATACATAGATAAATTACATATATAGAAATGTACCATTGTTACAACCACATGATTTATAATTATAATCACATCCTTCTGATAGGAGATATAAATCATAATTTTACTATTTTGATTTAGATAACGATAATTATGTTGGATGCTACATAGAGTCTAGTGGTGCTTTGTCAGAAATGCCTGTTTCTGCTGGTACTGTCACAACAGCAGATGAATGCATCAATAACTGCAGGAACCTAGATATGATCTATGCTGGAATCAGTGTTGGTGAGTTTCTTTGGTGTCCATGGTTGAGAATTTCATTATGACATTTCAGTTTATCAAAGGTTTTTGAAACATTAAAAAGATGATTTAAATCATAAAAAATATGTTGGAATTCATAAGCAGAAGATTTTTCTTTACAGATAATGTTCAAAATAATTTCTATTTGACAATGTGACATTTTCTAGGGAATTGTTCCTGTAGCAACAGCCTTGGCAGAATTGGTAAACTCAAGAAATCCAGCTACTGTCAGCAAAGATGTAGTGGTAACACCAATCAGTATTGTGGTGATGAGGGAATGCTATCAGTGTACAGAGTATGGGGTAGGTATTCTAAATCAGAAAACGGCAGGTACTCGGTTGAAAATAGGGGAAAGGCCTTTTGGACACTAGTGAATTTGAATATATAATAAAGTGGAATGTGTCATTTTAATGGGTGTTGTGTAAAAAGTTTCAAAGAAGACAAGTTTTGATGCAGTTTAAATTTTACCCCTTATTTTACAATATTTAGACTTTAAGGAATATATTTTCCAACTTTCAGGCAGGGTTTTTTTTCACATGAAATATGTGACATTGATGGACAAAAAGGTGTATTCAAGATAATTAAAATTCTCTGACATTTTTGCCAGTCATTTTATTTAGCTTTGTTTTTTTAATGATGTTTTTTCTAATTTTTAAGCAATTGAACAGAAACTGTTTTTATCTCCTATCCTTCCCATCCTATACAACTTATACAAGTAATGATTATGTGTCCTTCAGCTGGATTGTCAGTCAAACTCTGTTGACAGAATTATGTATGGCCATCTCCTTCAGTTTTCAGTCAACTTCCAAGGAAGTTCTACACACAGGATAACCCCAAAATGTGTTTGTACATACATGTATCTGTTTATTTATACTTTAGACTCTTACAAAGTACAATGATCATCCATGTGGCTTTAAAAACCTATATTGCAGATTCTCAATGCCCTCCCATTCCACAAGTATCTCACGCCAGATCAAACAGCACTTCCAGAACCCATGGTTCTGTGGTTGGGTATCAGTGTGATACTGGATATATGTTTCCATCTGATGCAGAGAACATAACAGCAATACAATGTGCACAGGCACAGTGGACACAGACACCCCCAGATTGCCAGGGTAAGTCCTTTTTTTTTTAAGAGAAACGACCAGTACAGGGGTGGGCTGAGCTGCTTGAGACATTCTGATTTGCTAATAATTTAAAGTAAAAGTTTAATTTGTGTTAACTTTGTATTTCATGATAACAACCATTTTGACTGTTTAAGATACACTACATATGAGAGGAAAAAAAACTTTTTTGGAGTGGACCATTTTCCTTATGATGGTTATTACAACTTTGATATTTTCAAAACAATTGGATGAATTTCTCCTTTGAAGATAGCAAGTAAATTCCATTAAAATAAACCGGAGGGATATTACAATGAATGTCTTATTCAATTTTAGTTGTGAATTGCACAACCTCGCCACCATCAGTTGCAAACAGCACCAGTGTGCAAGGAGGCATCAGATATGGGAGTCGNGATTCCCAGAGAAAGTTTGAAATTTTTGGTCAAATTCAACATTTTGTAACCACTAGCAAAGAATGACAGATATATTTATAGTAAATGTAGTAAATGCAAACATACATCTTCAGACTTAGCAGTGGAATCCCCACCCCCTTTCTTGCTGGCTAAATCTTATTGCAAATCTAGAAATTAATTTTTTACATGTAGATCTTAATCAATTTCCTACAAATTGTCTGGATTTTTTATAGAACATATGTGGAAATGAGTTTTTATAAATGGTTTCTGATATACTTTTCCAGTCTTTATGATGAAGGTGCATGGGCTCCAAATACTTCTGATAGTGGCCCCTGGGTCAAGCTCACCTTTAGTACTAGGCGCATTGTAACTGGGATTGTCACACAAGGTAGGGTAACAGTAATGTGTTTTTGATAACTGGTATTAAGATGATTATATTTTGTGCTGTTGGGGAGACAATTTCGGAAGGGTAGTTTGTGCTTTAATTTGAGGAAGTGAGGATGAGAGAGAGAGAGAGAGAGAGAGAGAGCAGGAGGTAAGGATGGGAGGATGGGATAGTGGGGAGGAGGTGAGATGCATAGAAAGCTAAAACATAAATTTTCTCTGCTCATAGGAGGGTATACCACACAGTCTACTTCAACAAACTGGATAACACAGTACAGAGTTTCTTACAATGATGAAAAGGGGTGGCACAACTATTCTTCCAATGGAACTCTGGAGGTATGGAGAGACATGTAACAATGACATTTGTACTTTTATAACATCTATTCTGAGACTCATAAAAATGTATATATTGCCATATAAGTTTGTTTTGTTTTTGAAAGCTACTAATGTTGGCTTGTTAAGTGTGTGTGTGTCTTCAAGAAATTACAGTGCATAAGTGCATATCTGAAATATATTACAGTGTCTGGGTATCTTACTGTTGAACATTATGAACAACTGTTTTGCATATTCCTCACCTTAAGTAAAATATTTCAGCTGTCAGGGAACACTGATTGGAATGGGCTGGTTACACAGTATATGCAACCACCATTCATAGCAGATGCCATAAGTATACATCTTCTGGCCTGGAATGGGAGACCTGAATTGCGCTTAGAAGTACTTGGATGCTCAGTTCAATCATTGGATGGTAGGTTGTTAATTTGTGCTTTTCATATACTAATACTTTTTTGTAAAAAAGGTCTAGTAAAATACTAATATTGTAAGTGCCATATTTAATTCATATTTTTGCTTAAACCATATATATATATATATATATATATATATATATATATATATATATTTATAATTCTAAGCTTGTAAATTAACTGTTGAGACTCTTTATTGATAATTGTAAGTAATGGGTATCTATATCAACAAAAAACAGAACTCAATTTGTGCCAAACATAATGTAATCAGATATAATCACAGGCTCTGCATATTATCATCTTATTTATTTTGACTGTAGTTTATTATAAATATATGCTTTATTCATACATTCTGCACCAGACTGATCGAGCTAGTGAAAATGTACAGAGATAAAGTATTATAATTATAATAATAATAATAATAAAATACACAGATAAATTACATATATAGAAATGTACCATTGTTACAAGCACATGATTTATAATTATAATCACATCCTTCTGATAGGAGATATAAATCATAATTTTACTATTTTGATTTAGATAACGATAATTATGTTGGATGCTACATTGAGTCTAGTGGTGCTTTGTCAGAAATGCCTGTTTCTGCTGGTACTGTCACAACAGCAGATGAATGCATCAATAACTGCAGGAACCTGGATATGATCTATGCTGGAATCAGTGTTGGTGAGTTTCTTTGGTGTCCATGGTTGAGAATTTCTTTATGGCATTTCAGTTTATCAAAGGTTTTTGAAACATTAAAAAGATGATTTAAATCATAAAAAATATGTTGGAATTCATAAGCAGAAGATTTTTCTTTACAGATAATGTTCAAAATAATTTCTATTTGACAATGTGACATTTTCTAGGGAATTGTTCCTGTAGCAACAGCCTTGGCAGAATTGGTAAACTCAAGAAATCCAGCTACTGTCAGCAAAGATGCAGTGGTAACACCAATCAGTATTGTGGTGATGAGGGAATGCTATCAGTGTACAGAGTATGGGGTAGGTATTCTACGTAAATCAGAAAACGGCAGGTACTCGGTTGAAAATAGGGGAAAGGCCTTTTGGACACTAGTGAATTTGAATATATAATAAAGTGGAATGTGTAATTTTAATGGGTGTTGTGTAAAAAGTTTCAAAGAAGACAAGTTTTGATGCAGTTTAAATTTTACCCCTTATTTAACAATATTTAGATTTTAAGGAATATATTTTCCAACTTTCAGGCAGGGTTTTTTTTCACATGAAATATGTGACATTGATGGAGAAAAAGGTGTATTCAAGATAATTAAAATTCTCTGACATTTTTGCCAGTCATTTTATTTAGCTTTGTTTTTTAAATGATGTTTTTTTCTAATTTTTAAGCAATTGAACAGAAATTGTTTTTATCTCCTATTCTTCCCATCCTATACAACTTATATAATGGTTATGTGTCCTTCAGCTGGATTGTCAGTCAAACTCTGTTGACAGAATTATGTATGGCCATCTCCTTCAGTTTTCAGTCAACTTGCAAGGAAGTTCTACACACAGGATAACCCCAAAATGTGTTTGTATATACATGTATCTGTTTATTTATACTTTAGACTCTTACAAAGTACAATGATCATCCATGTGGCTTTAAAAACCTATATTGCAGATTCTCAATGCCCTCCCATTCCACAAGTATCTCACGCCAGATCAAACAGCACTTCCAGAACCCATGGTTCTGTGGTTGGGTATCAGTGTGATACAGGATATACGTTTCCATCTGATGCAGAGAACATAACAGCAATACAATGTGCACAGGCACAGTGGACACAGACACCCCCTGATTGCCAGGGTAAGTCCTTTTTTTTTAAGAGAAACGACCAGTACAGGGGTGGGCTGAGCTGCTTGAGACATTCTGATTTGCTAATAATTTAAAGTAAAAGTTTAATTTGTGTTAACTTTGTATTTCATGATAACAACCATTTTGACTGTTTAAGATACACTACATATGAGAGGAAAAAAAACTTTTTTGGAGTGGACCATTTTCCTTATGATGGTTATTACAACTTTGATATTTTCAAAACAATTGGATGAATTTCTCCTTTGAAGATAGCAAGTAAATTCCATTAAAATAAACCGGAGGGATATTACAATGAATGTCTTATTCAATTTTAGTTGTGAATTGCACAACCTCGCCACCATCAGTTGCAAACAGCACCGGTGTGCAAGGAGGCATCAGATATGGGAATCATGTGAACTACACTTGTTATAATGGATATCAGCTTCCAAATGGAGCCATATTCACACAGAGCACCTGTCAGGCTGATGGGACATGGACCAATATTTTGGTACACTGTGAGCGTAAGTATACATTTGTTATACCAAGGGCACAAGGGCTATACATATGTCTTACTAATTACCTGGGGTGGACAGTCGTACACTCCTTTTTCTGGACTCCAACAAACCTAAAGGCATCCTGCTGAGCTAGAATTTCACATTTTGTAAAAAAAATGGTGAAATAGCTCAGTGTCTTTCTGCCGGAATATGTAACCTGACTGTTTGATACATAAACAAATTAATTTGACGAATAGCTTCTTTAAAGAGGTTTAGTGGGGTCAGTGGTGCATCAGACAAGTATGTCTCAGGATGATTAATTCATATATGGTGTAACTGCAATTTATAGCAATTTTAATAAATTAATTTGTTTTGGTAAATGCTAGCAAAACCAAAAGTGTTTGCTCTCCTCACTTTTTACCATATCAGGGATAACAAATTTCTTGACAAAATTGATGGGAATAGGCTGGCAAGATGAATAATAAATAAATATTACGAAATTACCCTTTCACAGCCAAGCATTGTGGCAGCAGGCCCTCAGTGACGAATGCG